CTTGCTCTGCTGGGACAAACAGAAAAATAAGTAAACAGGATACATCAGATGGAGATAAGTGCTATTTAAAAAAAAAAAGTATGGAGATAAGATAGAGAGTGATAGGGAGGGAGGGATGCTGTTTGGGATAGGGCTTTCAGGTCAAATAAGATCAGCCCCTCTCACCAGAAGACACTGGAGCAGTGTCCTGAAAGAAGTAAGAGAGCTCTGAGTTTGTGATATGAATCCTGGGCAAAAGATGTCCCAGACAGAGAGAACAGTATGAGCAAAGGCCCTGAGGCAGCAAGAGCCTCCGCATGTTCCACTGAAGAGGCCATTATTGTGGCTAAAGTGGAGTGAACAAGGAAGAGAATGGGATTAGGGATTAAGACCAAATAGCTGGGTAGGGTGGCCAGATCAAATAAGGCCTCGTAAATTAAAATAAGGGCATTCCTTGGCTTTTATTTTGAGTAAAATGGGAAGCCATAGAGATTTTTGAGCAAAGAAGTGACATCACCTGACTTTACAGGAGATTTTATAGTGTGATGCAGAATCAGGAAAATTGGGAGTGGGGTGGGGAGGATAGGGTGGACAGGGAAGAGACCACCAGCCACAGGTGGCTATTTTAAGGCAAATCAGTTGAAATTTTTTAAAAATACAAATTCGAAAAAAAAATATAAAAATAAAAATTCGTGTTCATTGCACTGCCCGTATTTCAAATGCTCAATAGCCACATGTGGCTAGTGGTTACTGTGTTGGACAGTAGGATAAAAAAAAAAAAATCCGTCACCACAGAAACTTCTGTTGGATCGTGCTGATGGAACCCTAAAGGCCTTTGTTGGGTCTTTGGCTTTTACTCTGAGTGCCTGGGAAGCCACCAGAAGCTTCTAAGCAGAGGAGGACGTACTCTGAGTTATGATTTCAAAAGACCACTAGGCTTGCTATGTTGAGAACAGAGGCAAGTGTGGATGCGGGGAGACCATTTATCGTCTAGTGGAGAGATGATGGTGTCTTGTTGAAGAGGTGGCAGTAGTGATCATGAGAAATGGCTTGGTTCTGATACAGTTTGAAGGCATAATCCGTAGACTTTTCTGGTGGAATCCATGTGTGATTTGAGAAGAAAGTAATAAAAAGTGCTGTGGGTGATGATGACGGGAGAGCATGCGAAGCACAAGTGGAAGGATAGAGCACACAGAGGAAAAATCCCGTTCATCACGAACCGGGGACGATGCAGGGCTGTGGCTGGAAGAAAGAGATCTCGGAAGCCCTCATCTGAGTATTAGAAGATGAAGAGGTAAAGGGAGAGACAGGTGTCCTGGGAGGGGAAGATGGTGGAGAAGATTTCAGACACCAAGTTGGGAAGGGCCCCCTTTTGTGGTTGGGGACCACGAAGCCGTCTGTCCCTTTGGTTTCCTCCAGTCTGACTGCTTATGTGCAAGGTAAGGGGGCGGGGGGTGACCGGGTCGACGTCACTCAGGGCTGAGGTTTTCCAGGATGGATTTGTAGGAAATACAGAGAGGAAGGGAGTTTAAGGGACACTGTAATACGGAATCTAAACCGACAAAGAGGAAAGTGAAAAAAAGCCGAAGGCTGATGAACTGGGAGGAAGTAGAGGGATCAATGGCCTGGAGGCGCTAATATTTCTAAGAACAGCTGCAGCTGTAGACCACGCAAGTTGGAAGGAGAGATGTTTCTGGCAACATTGAAGGCTGGAGTCAGTAATTTGGCAGGTGGAGGTGTTTCAGGTGACGACAAGTCCAGGCCTTTGGAGTCTCTGCAGCTGTATCTCCATTCTGGGCCGACCTGCTACGTCCCCGAGTCCCAGGTGGGATGTCCTCACTGTGCATCCCATGTAGGCAGGTTTGGTAACCTCAAGAGCGGGGGGTTTGGGGCCTACCCCCCATGGTTCCAGGCCTGTCGCAGATTGGCCCTGTAACCGTGGACCTTGAGGAAATGAACTTCATGGTCCCTTCCATCTCTAATCTGTAACTCCATGGCCTCATTATAAAATCACAGTCTTTTTCCAAACATTGACCTTCAAGATGGACCCTGGGGGATTTGCCTATTAAAAATATGCAACTTTGCAAATATTTATCTGCTGTTTCTTGGAATATTAAACTCTTGGAAAGCTGCCTTCTAGATCATGTGACAGAACCTTGGCCACGTGGTCATCAGAGCCAGTTTGACAGGAATTGTACACCCGCCGCGTCGGGGCCGCGGTGCTCTTCAGGCCCTGCTCTCTCCAATGCTCTTATGCTCCTAACCTCTCTCTCTCTCTTCTTTATAAAGAACTTATTTAAGGGTTGGCTCAGGCCACGGTCCTGGGATGGAGCCCCAAGGGGGGCTCCCTGCTGGGGTTGCCTGCTTCTCCCTCCGCCTCTGCCTCTCTCTCTACCTGCTTGTGCTCTCTATCAAATTAATAAAATTTAAAAATATATATTTAAAATAGGCCCTATGCCCAATGTGGGGCTCAACCTCACCACCCTGGGTGAGAGTCACATGTTCTACCAACAGAGCCCGTCAGGCGCCCCACATTTTCCATTCGTTCATTCATTCATTCATTCATTTTCATTTTTCTCTTTTAATTTTGTTAATCTCCTTACAGGAGAGGCACTCAGGAGCTCCTTCAGCAGAAATGATAGAGGCTGTTGCTCTCAGAATCGGACGCAGTGTTGTGACCTGTAAATTCCTATGAACATTTGAACATTTTATTGATATTTATTCAGGAGAGATTCCAAAAGGACAAACCGCCCCCCCGCCCCCCGCCCTCCCCTACTCCTCACCAATCACTCTTCCCTCCTTAGGGCTGAGAGAGTATTTAGAACAATCTAAGGTAAATTTTTAACAGGATGGTCTAGCTTGGGCTTTGTAGGCTTGACTAATGAAGTAAGTGGTCGTTTTTTAGCTAAAATAACTGCATTGTTTGGACAAGTTTTCTCCTTTGAGTTTTCTAGGGTCATTAGAATGATCTAACTGCCTTACCTGCTATTTGAACTGGCCGAGCCTCTGGAGGGACAGAAAACAAAAGAAGGGTGTTGAAATGCAAATAGATAGCTCTAAATTCCAGGCCCAGGCTGCCAAAATAAAGCCAAAGCTGACAAGGAGGGTCTCCACGGAGGTCTGTGGAAAGGCTCCAGAAAAATCTCACACGATGTATTTCTTTTCGTGGATCGGAGTCCTCCGGTAGGTAAGAAAAACAAAAACAAAATAAAAACAAACAAAGGATTTCATACTTGGAATTTGCTCGGTGCCAGTTGAATGGCTAATTGTTTCTTGTTTTCTCCCTGCCCACCCCCCGACTTTTTTTTTTTTTTTTTCTGCCTGAATAGATAATCCTTACAAAACATCCATTCATTCTACAAGTGAAAATTTCAGGAATACTCGACACTGGCCTTGGCAAGACTAATGGACCGAGATTGAGTGATGGATTTGTGTGTGTTGTGGCTGACATGCGTTTTGGGGTTTTGTATGCTAGTTTAAGAATATTTTAGCATTAGGAGATTTAGGACATTTTAATTAACGAATACGACGAAGGCTTAAACTGGTAGATGAAATGATAAGACACAACATTGTTTTCGTAGCTTATTTTTGAGCAAAACCTTGATTGTTTCTGTTGCTTTAAGAAAGGACCTGCTGATAATTAACGTGAGCTTTCTTTTCTGTCTCAACTGACCACTTCGACTGACGTGTAAACAATGACTTTCTAAGGGAAATAAAATAAGGAGGCGATACAGCTTAGCAAAAAGGACACGCGATATCAGATTCATAATAGTGAAATTGAATTCGGGCTCCTGTTTGGTTTCTGCTGTGAACTGGCTGCGTGACTTTGAAGGAGTGATTAAGTTCCTTAAAAAAAAAAAATATATATATATATATATATATATATATATATAATCGGAATGAGAAATATGTGGTAGTGAAAAAATTATTTGTGAAAGTGTTTTAAAGTCCCATGAGAAAAAGCACACCCAGAAACCACAGTTGGGTTGGCTTTTTCACTGAAAATATCTGACCCTGTCAGTAAACCTAAATTTTAGTATATTAGTTTTTTATTTTATTTTTTCAGCCATCTAATTTCAGGTGCTTAGGAACTCTTCAATTTGTTAATGGAAAGAAACGCCACAGACGCGGGATGGCTACACAGCAACTTTATTCTGGTAAAATAATCTCCTAAATCCTTGTATACACAGCCTCTCACTGTTGGCTTTATAAGGTCAGCGCAAGCATACCAGCCCCGTGGCTGTTAGGAGCTCAGCCCGGCCAAGATAGCACTAACTCGAACAAACATACAAAACAGCAAATAGTTTCAACAGGGCCACTTGATTTGTGTGTAACCCAGTCTGAACAGAGGATTCTGGAAAAAAAACAAAAAAACCAAAAAACTGACCCAGCCTCACTGGCAAAGTTACGTTAGTTATGGAGGTGGTGAGATTGTATCAGTGGAGGTTGGCCAGGCCTTGTGAAAAAGCAAAGGTTAGAGACAGGAATCTTGAATTCAGATACTCTGCCGCTTCGAAGGACCACAGCTGGCAGGGCAACTTTTCCTTCTGGCCGCTCACTGCTTTTGAAGGAGAAAGCTCTGGAAACTGATATGCCAGTTCCCAGGTCCTCAGAGAAGCATAGTCTGGTGAAGAAGTAAAATTCTGCTGGGGTTAGCAGAAGCCTCCTGGTTTTAGGAACTAGGGATGTCAGGCTCCCGGATTCTGAGTTCCAATATTGACTCTGTCCCTGAGTCACCCTGACCAGTCATCCACTGTCCTGTGTTTCCCTCTTTAGAGAAGAGCTAAGACTCTTGACTTTTTTTTTTTTTTAAGTAATCCCTACACCCTACGTGGTTCGAACTCATAACCCTGAGATCAAGAGTCACACGCTCCACTGACTAAGCCAGCCAGGCGCCCCAGACTATATTGACATTTTCAGAGGTTGCAAAACACATTATAAAAGGATAACAACGGCACTAAACAAACCCATGATTATGAAATATTAGAGGGGTGCATTTTAATAAAGGTAAGTGCATTCTTTAAAAAAAAAGATTTTATTTATTTGAGAGAGAGCACACAAACACACACACAGATGAGCTGGGGGTGGGGGTGCAGAGGTGGAGGGAGAAGCAGGCTCCCCTCTGAGCAGGAACCCCGGGACCCCAGGACCCCGGGACCATGAGCTGAACAGAAGACAGACCTTTAACCAACTGAGTCACCCAGGTGCAGCCCCCACCCCTTTTTATGTTTATTTATTTTTACTTTTTTTTTTTAAAGATTTTATTTATTTATTCATGAGAGACACAGAGAGAGAGAGAGAGATACAGGGAGAGGAAGCAGGCTCTGTGCAGGGAGCACCACGTGGGTCTCAATCCCCCGTCTCCAGGATCACACCCTGGGGCCGGAGGCGGCACTAAACCGCTGGGCCACCGGGGCTGCCCCCCACCCCTTTTAAAAAAGATTTTCTTTTTAAGTCATCTCTACACCAACGTGGGACTTGAACTCAAAGCCATGAGATCAAGAGCTGCTTGCTCCACTGAGTCAGCCGGGCGCCCCCACGACGGTAAGTGCACTCTTTTGATAATTGGAAGTTGATAATCTTCATGTAAGAGTAGAGAGTTTAAAAAAAAAAGAAGAAGAGTAGAGAGTTTGATTTCCAAATAGAGTTTTAGGTGTAAAGTCTCTTATTCCAGACATTGCAAATTGGGTCCTGGATGACCGTTCGTCTCTCTTGCTTATTGAGAGGGAACTGTTAACAAGGTGCCTTACGGGAGTGGTTCGATTGCTTATCAGCGCTCAGACCCCCAGGCTTTCTAGAAATGTGTATTTAAATTTAGTCACCTGACTTTCAAAGAGGGAGACTAATATTTAAGTACAGGGCACTGTGTATGGGTTTCTGTACATGCTGCAAACAAACCAGACGTACAGAGTGGATTCTCTAGAGACCTTGAAAAAGTCTTTGGTTATGAAGGGAATTGATCGATCACCCATTTTATTCCTCGCTTTCCCAGGACAGCTGTTGAGCACCAGCTTGAGTTTTGAATTCTTTTTTTTGGACATCACTTAGATGCCTCATTAACACAGCAAACCTTTCAAAGATGGACCTCAGTGTTAGTTTTCTTCGTGGTACCTCTCATCATAAAAAAAAAAAGTGTATGATTTTTAGCTCTTCGTCTTTTCAGCCTTCTTTAGACTGCACCAATCTGCCAGTCCTGAAATCCTTTTAGTTTTTCCCTCTGTGTCCAGCATCCCTCTTCTGATTCCTAGTAAAAAGTGGATGATATTCCCATCATCCCAAATTAACAGTTATTATTTTTTTGGACCTGTTTCAATTTGTTTTAATGACCTAAAACACTGAAGATCAAGTTTCCTTTGAATACTAATTCCAGTTCCATTTTATCCTTCTAATCTCACCTCACGGAGCCCCTGTTCAGTTTGATAAGTGCTTTAAAAATATTTTATTTTATTTTTAAAAAGATGTTATTTATTCATGAGAGACAGAGAGACAGAGAGAGAGGCAGAGACACAGGCAGAGGGACAAGCAGGGTCCCTGTGGGGAGCCCGATGCGGGAGTTGATCCCAGGACCCCAGGATCATGACCTGAGCCAAAGGTAGATGCTCAACCGCTGAGCTACCTGGGGAGTCCTTAAAAATATTTTATATATATTTACATGTACTCATAATTTATATGTAGTATTGTTTTATGAGTTTAAATATATATAAATGGTTTCATATATACCTATTGTTCTATGATTTGCTTACTTTCACAGGACATTCTTTGTTCTCTCTCTCTCTATATATATATATATATTCTCTATTATACATACATCCTCATTATTTTTAATTTTCTGGTATTTCATGGTACAAATAATGCCATATTTTATTAATGAGTCCATTAGTGGATGTGGGTTGATTTAAGATTTTTGCTAACATAAACAATGCTTACATTATTTTTACCGATTAGTTTCTTAGGCTGGAACCAGGATACAGAGTTGCTACATTTTAAATATGCCCAATTTCACTTTTTTTTAAAGATTTTATTTATTTATTCATGAGAGACACACACACACAGAGAGAGAGAGAGAGACAGAGACAGAGAAAGAGAGAGGCAGAGACACAGGCAGAGGGAGAAGCAGGCTCCATGCAGGGAGCCCGACATGGGACTCGATCCTGGGACCCCAGGATCAGGCCCTGGGCTGAAGGCGGCGCTAAACCGCTGAGCCATCTGGGCTGCCCTCAATTTCACTTTTAAGAGAGATCCCCAAATTGATTTTCAGCTGTTTGAAAACTGTTCTCCAAATACCCTTAACACTTTTCAGACTTTTTTTTTTTCTAGGAGGGGCCTGAACCCAACACCCTGGGATTAAGACCTGAGCTGAACTGAGATCAAGAGTCAGATGCTCAACCGACTAAACCACCCAGGCACCCCCAGACTTATTTTTTTAATGTTTTTAAAACAATTTTTTTTCTTGTGATAAGAACTCTTAAGATCTCTTAAGCAAATTTCAAAGATGCAGTAAGGTATTGTTAGCTATCGTCGTTATGCCGTACATTACATCCTTTATCAGGCTTCTTAATTTTTGCTAATTTTAGTGGTAACAAGTGGTTTTTCTCTTGGGTTTTCTAGCTTCATTTCAGTTCATCATATTCACAGTCCTTCCCTCAGGACGCCTCTGTCCCGAGCGCTCTCCACGTCAATCTGCTCAATCCACCCTGTGGCTGCCTCCCTTCGTCTCCAGGTGTCCTGCTGCCCCAAATGAGCGACTCTCCGCTTTCTCTCGTTCAGCTTTTATTTTTCTGCCTCTGCAACTTGATCACGCTCTTCTGTGTTACTTTATTGATCCAATAAATATTTAGTAAGTTCTTTACCTCCTGCCAGATGCTGAGAATGTTAAGAGTGGACAAGAAAGACAATATCTAGGCAGGCATGGAGCTTACTTACCATTTTTAGCAGAGGATGGGGAGGGGCAGAAAGACACCAGTAAAAATACAAATAAGCTAAATTTTCACAGTTGTAGGTACTAAAAAGGCAGCAAGTTCATTTGACTTGCTATGGCGTCGTGTGTGTCGGGTGGGGGAAGGGGCCCTGGGGAAAGTGGGCATGTCCAGGTGGAAGCCTTAGAAGGGCAAGTGCTCAGGGAAGGCTCTGCAGAGGACGTTATGTTCCTCTTGAGAGCAGCAATGCGAAGCTCAGTCAGAGCCCAGGAAGTGTTGCTAAGCTGGAGCCTGGAGCGTAGGTAGCTGCCTCCGTGCAGGGATGGCCTGGGTGTCCTGAGAAACAGCTGCTCCGTGGCTGGGTGCTCGGGCCTGGGAGGGTGCTCAGTACCGCAGGACACGCAGGCAGGAGAGCTGGGCCGCCGGGGCCTGGCTGTGCTCCCTCAACTGTAGTTTGTTTCTTTGTTTAGTAAACTCTGTCCCCAGCGTGGGGCTCTGGGGCCAGTACTCACGACCTGGAGATCAAGAGTCACATGATCTGCCTACTGAGCCAGCCAGGTGCCCCTGTAGTTTGCCCTTTAAAGCCGTGATCAAATCCCCTTTTTCTAACCATCCCCGAGCCTGCCGGCTGAGAACGATCTTTCTGGACCACCTGGCACATGGCCCAGTGGTGTTGCACTTTGGGATCTCGGTGTCTGTTCTTCCCAATTTGCTTTCTTTTTTGTTTCTACCCTATATGGGACAATATTCTAAATTTTAAGGTTTTTTTTTTTTTTGTTTTGTTTAAGAATGCTACACCCAACAACAGGGCTCAAACTTAACCCCAAGATCAAGAGTTGCGGGCTTTACCTACCGAGACGGCCAGGCACCCAACAATACTAGAATGAGGAAAGGAGAAGGAGAAAAGGTACAATGCACAAGCCTGTCCCTTCTGATTGAGTCACTTTGGAATGAACTGAGTTTCGGTGAAACACACTTTCTTTTAATGTATCCAAGCTAATTTTCAGAGGCAAGTAATTTAATTTTCTTGAATAATTGATAAGAGCAGTTGTAATTCCCAAAGTGACTGTTTTTTACCCGACCCAGGTTTTTTTCTCCAGAATAACAATTAGTGATTAATTGCCATTAACAATTAATAGTCTTGAACAATGTTGACTTTTTTTTTTTACTTTTTATTTTTTTTAAAGATTTTATTTATCTATTCCTGAGAGACACAGAGAGAGGCAGAGACACAGGCAGAGGGAGAAGCAGGCTCCTTGTGGGGGAGCCCGATGTGGGACTCGATCCCGGGACCCTGGGACCACACCCTGGGCCGAAGGCAGGTGTTTAACCGCTGAGCCACCCAGGGATCCCCATTTTTTTAAGTTTTTAAAAAAGTGTTAACATGGGGCTCAGACGCACGACCCTGAGATTATGAGCTGCACGCTCTGCTGGCCGAGCCAGCCAGTACCCACCCCCAGATATCTTGTTTTTGGTGCTGTGCTCACTCTGAGCTTGAGCTTTGTATGAAGAACTGACGGTACGTTACCTGCAACGGGGGACTTTTCTCCTGCATCACCAGCTGCTACTGTGTGCTAGAGACCGTGATACGTCTTTTCAGGTGGTTATATATATATCCCTTTATCTTCAGGATAATCTTTGAGCTGTGTGTTATTTTCTAGTTGGAAAAAAAAAAACTGGGTTCATAGAGGTCATATTCGGTCCCCACTTTATAGAATTAGCAAATGGCGAGCAGACATTTAAATTTGGGGCTTCTGACCACTTCTCTGTGAAGCTGCCATGCTTTAAATAATAATATAGCAAACACCAACCACGTGCTATTTCCAGGCACAATCTTAACCACTGTGCTCTTAACTGCTGTGATGTGCTGCTCATCTCTCCTTCCTTCTCTCTCATTTTCCCCCCGAGCATTCATCAGACAGTGAGAGGCAGTGGGTGCAGCCAGAGGCCTGGTGCACGGGCCCCGGCAGCCAGATTGCCCGGGTCAGGGGCTTCTCAGCCGGCTTACTGGCCGTGTGGGCAAATTACTCAGCATCTCTGTGGTTTGCTTTCCTTATTTTTAAGGAGGGATAATAGTCCTCCTTAACGTCTCACCTCCTTGGGTTAGTGTAAGGATTAAGGGGGAAGAGCCTCGCAGGAGCCCGAGGTGGTGGTGGTGAGGCCTCCCGGGCGCTGGGCCTCCTGCCGGGGAAAGGCCTCGCCCTCCCGTTGCACCTCAACTACAGCTATAACATTTTTGGACAAAATAACCGCTGCTCCGGGTTCCCTTGAGTTGCCCAACAGGCGGGGGCTCCCCAAAACTCCGTTTTCCAGGGCTTGGAACGTCTCAAATGACTCCTGAATCTGTTCTTCTGGTTCTGACCATTTATCTCCAGCCAACTCCCAAATAAAAGAAAACCCTATGTGCATCCCAAGCTCAACGTGCTCAGAACCAGGCTCCCGGCCTTTTCTTTTGGGGGCACAGCCCGTGTCCCGGGTCCCCGGCCAGGGAGGCTGCGAGTCCGCCCGCCCACTTAGAGACCTGGAGCTGCCCCGCCCCCGCCGCCCGCCACCTGCCGCCCGCCACCTGCGCTCCACCTGCGCTCCACCTGCCCGGGGCCTGCACTCGGCTCGCAGCCCGAACCGGGAGAGCTCCGCGGTGACAGGGGACCTCGGCCCCAGTGCGGCCTGGGCCTGTCGCAGCTTGTCCCCCAGCCTTCCACCTGGGCCTCAATCTTCGGCTCCCTCTCCACCCTGTGGCAAGCGTTATCTAAAACACAAATTTGGTAGGACTTGGCTGCACTAAAGCCACCAGGGGTGCGGCGCTTGATGGCTCGGCCATTAGGCGTCCCACCCTCGGTTTGGGCTCAGGTCACCAGCCTCTCAGGGTCCCGGGATCGAGCCCGGCACCTGTGGGGTTCCCTTGCTCAGCCGGGAGTCTCCTGGTCTCCCTCCCTCCCTGCCACCCCTCTGCCCTGCCACCTGCTCAAGCTCCCTCGGGCTCTCTCTCTCAAATAAATAAATAAATCTTGAAAAAAAAAAAACCCACTGGTGGTTCCTCTTGCATGTGTTAAAGTCTAAACCCCTCACTACCTAAAATCCCCTCTTGATCTTTCCGTGGCCTCTCCCTCCACTGTGCCTGGGCCTCAAGTCCCTGCTAGACCAGGCCGCTTCTGCACATGCTGCTCTGGCCCTGGAGCCCCCCACCCCCCTTCTCCTCTTGGCTTAGTGAAGTCTTTTTTATCCTTCAACATTTAGTTCATAAGCCACATCCTCTGTGAAGGCTTTCAAAGAGGGCCGCAGACAGCCCCTCCCACCCGCGTACCTCACAGCCTTCTGAGCTCATAATTTGGGGGAACACACTTGTGAATCAAAAGTGCACATCTGACAGTTTAGACAGCCCAGCATGTGCTCCCCTGGCAATGGCACAGATCACTGAACAAAATCCAGAAGAACCTCATGGAGAGGATTCCTTGTTCTCCCTCCCACTAGCCGGCGAGCGGGCCAGGGAGGACCTCTCCCTGAGGGGGGCTGTGTGTATCGGCCGAGGGCCTGGCACGATGCCCCACGCAATCCGTGTTGGCTCGATGTGGGAAGATTAGACCAGGCCTGAGATCCTTCACGATAAGAACGGATCCAAAGCTCATGTGTAAATTCCTCCCAATAACCCAGCAAGCCAAACCAGTAAACGCCATCGTTTCTATCTTGGCTTTATCACCTAGAGCAATTCCCTTCTCCTGGCCTCCACTTTCTCATCTGTGACTTAGGGATAGGAGCAGCTACTTGGAGGGGTCGCTGGGAAGACTCTATGAGCGAATTGAAGGAAATTAGCCAACACAGGACCTGGCTAAGGAGTCTTTGTTTCAGGCACAAAGATATGTGTAGCTCATCACTATAAACAGGAACTGAGAGGCAAGGTCATGTCCTAAAATAACTTCTTAAAGTTAGGATTTCATTGGGAATTTTAAAAGTTAAGACAATGTAGAATGTTACTCATATTTACTAACAGCTTGAGCTTAGGAAGGTGCATCCTCCTAAGTTTTAAAGTACTCTTTGATTTTCCGCCCACACAATTCACAGTCGGGCTGGGGGAGGTGTAGATGCACCATTTGTTGTGCTGCACCTTTGTTTATCTGCTTCGTCTGATCCCAAACCCAGCCATGCAAAGGAATCATTTGGGTGAGTGCTGTTACAGATTCCTGGGCCCCACCCCACACACACCTACTGAATCATAATTGAGGGCAGGAAGGGGACTGCAAATCTACATTGATAAAAACCTCCCCTTGTGGTTTGATAATCTGCAAGTTTGGGGAACTGCTAATATACATACCACTAGAAAAGCACAGCGCTCAAAATCCTCAATTTCTGAGCTTTACCGTCTTTAAAAAACGTAAAAAACATATATTCGCTTTCTCAGTGCCTCTTTCACCTTTATACCGTGGTCTGTTCATCCTGCTGCTGGAAAAACTGGCTCCAGTTAAACAACAGAAAAAAAGGTGCAAACTTTACCAGCTTCCCCACCTTCTTAGCCTCAGCGAGGTATTTCCCCCAAGTCCTACTGGGGCAATTTAAATGCTAATGTCTTAAGTACAACAATCTCTTTAGCAATCAGAATTGTTTTTCTGCCAATCCTTTTTCTCTTTATTTTTATATGTGTTGGTTCATTCATTCATTCATCGGCTAGAGACGCATGTGTTTAGAATCTTCTAACTTTCAGACCTTAAAAAAGAAAAAAGAAAGGAAGAAAGAAAAGAAAAGAAAATATTCCATCCCGGTATCTTCTCTGCAGTACTTGCAAGAGGAGAGGAACGCATCCACCCCCTAAACCTGAGATCTGCAATTTGAATGTGCTGAGTCACCTGGTCTTTGCAGGGTCAAACATTTTGCACCTAGGAAAAGAACTGCAGAAAATCAAACTGTGAGCAGCTAGCCGGTATGTTGTTATTTAAATACCAATAAGAAGACTGGAAAGGGGATAATGCATAGATACCTTGTACCTTACTAATTAACTTTTAAACTTGTTTTCAGAGATTTCTAATAGTCTGGTAAATCCTCTTTTCTGTTTGGTCATTTGTTGGTGAAATTATTCTTTAAATATTTCTTCCTGTTCCTAGAAAGTGAAAATGAATATAAACGGTAAAGCAGTTGTCTGACAACGTTCAGAAAAAGGGGGAGAGGGGATTGTCTTTGCCTTTATTCTGAAGTT